CTGGACTGCTTCTGGCTCCGCCGCAAGTCCTGTGATCTGTCCTGTCCTGTCCTGTCCTGTAGGTAGACTAGAAAGATACTATCTTGCTGATGAGGTTTCATTGTTCCGGTAATTCATGCCATTTGTTTCAGCACAGCAGCTTGCTTAATAATAATAATTTTTATGCCACAAGCATATGCTACTTTTTAAAAATTCAACTTACATAACCCGTAAATCGGAAGTTGCACTTCTAATAACATCTTATGATGTAACGTATTCAGTATTTCATTCGAAATTTTTGAAACCTTTCCTTCAATGCCTTTGACTTTAAAACGAACTATGAGTAAACTCTTTCGGGCATATGTTTTATACAATTGAAGTAAATAACTGTGGTCGTTTGGTTATGGGAGCACTGGGTGCCCTAGGGCAGCTGAGTTTAAGATCAGATTCCAGGACTTACGGCTCGTATCATCGAGAGTCGAGTTTATTGCGCGACGGGGCGTGATTACCGAAGTGGAATACCAGGTAAACTGTCTTTCGCCAAGTGCAGAATATCAGGATCACTTCTGTAATAAGCACTCGACTTAGTTTAAAACGGAGAATTTGCACTTTCTCACTGCTAGGCAAGCACATTATTTCGATTGACAAAACGGTAAATATACGGAAAGGCGCAGACAGGTAAGTGTGATGTAGTGTTAGGGAGTATTGCAGTCGGGTTTCGAGTAAAAAAGGGATTTATAGAAGGATTTAACAGAGGTGCAGTACTTCAGGAATTAGCCAAGGCCAGAGAATTTTAAAGTCTATATGTTGCACAATCTGGCCTTGAACTGCACTATAGTCTGGGCCGGCACTTCCTCCACCGACGTTTTGTATGCAATTCTCCATCACCTCGAGTTGCGTCACGCACGTCGTCGGCCAGCAATCGCAGTTCCCTGATCTTGAAGGAGCCTTCAGTTTAATTGACCGTGAGGCTGTTATTGGGTCGCTCCTTCACAAAGGAATGCCGTGGAAGTATGGAGATCTATTGCAGTCACTATACCTGCATACTTCTGGTAGCGTAAGGGTTTATAGTGGCTAAGTAAATCGTTCGAAACTAGGAGCGGCGTTCACCAAGGGTGCCTTATTTCGCCATTCCTGTTCAATTTCGTCGTCTACCCCGGTGCTGATGGCCGAGAGTTAGCTGTAGTTGAGTGTTTCACCTACTTAGATAGCTGCGTTACGACTTCCAAAGTGTCCATTGTACGCACAAGACAGTTGTTTATCTACCTGCATCATGATCCTCACGTTAAAGCCCCCCCGGGTTTGAAAGGTTGACGAGGCTTAACAATGTGCAAATTATTGAGTATTAAACGACTTACAGTGCTATTTGGCGACGACCATTGGCGAGTGACAAACAAGTTGTCCGATAGAATGTTTGCGGTGGGAATAAAGGGTAAAGGACGAGGGTTGGGTATAGAAGATAAAAATATAAATGTAAATATATATAAATATAAAATATAAAAATATAAATGTGATGTTTGGGCATTACCTTCTTCACTGTAACTTTCCCATACTAGAGGAGCTTGCCATAGAACTTTCGGATACCTACGTATGCATCTGCGGGCTCCGTCATTAAGTGTAACCATACTCACCATGGACGCATCTCATAGTTTGATTATTTTCCCGGAAACCGTTCTCGATTAGCATGTTATGTATCCAATATTTAACTTTCTTGGGCCAAGCCAGTGCACACAACCAATTGTGGTGCAGTCATCTTTCTGTGGATTCAGTCCCTGATACGTTTGCGGTTGCAATACTTTTAGGTTACTCAAATCAAGATGCTTTCCGTTTTTACATATTCTTGATTATTACAGTAGATGGCAATCAGTCGATTTTTTGGTTCGATTTGCACTATCCTAACAACCGTTCTTCGCTTCAAATTACAGGTCGATATTTATGAAAAAACCAAGTTCGTCATTTGGCTTGTGTTTGAAAAATCTTTTTAAATAATCGACGCTTCGCAGAATTCATGTGCTCTTTAGTTCAATTCAAATAATCATGAACACAGTTCTCCTTGTATTTCTTTTAGCTTTTGCCTACATTCCTTGGTCCAAACTTTGCCGACCGTCCACAGCTACCATGCACTCTGTCGCTTATGTCACCTGTCCCAACTCATCTGTAGCTGAAAATATGGCCTCACTGTTGGTCACTCAAAAGCTTGCTGCTTGCGTCAACATTATCCCGTCAGTGAAGTCAATATACACCTGGAAGGGAAAGGTGGAGAAAGATGAGGAAGTTCTCATGATAATTAAAACCCGCTCCAGCCTGATAGAAAAATTGTCCGAGGCAGTTAAAACCAATCATCCTTATGAATGTCCTGAAGTGATTTTTGTGCCAATCACTGCGGGCTACGCCCCGTATCTGAAGTGGATTTCCGAGTCTACTTTGGACGAATGAACCAGAAGGCTTTTCAAAGTTCCTCTTCTATTTCGCTTATCCTTCGTACGTGGACACAATGACGCTGAGCACTACTGTCCCAAAGCGCCCTCTTAATCTCCTTTCTTTGCTATTTTGACGATGCATTTGATATCACTATGTTACCTTCGTGGTACGTAGTTTTAGCCGATAAATATATATTTTATTGTTCTTTCCTACTGCTTGTTGGTTCATGTTTTCCATCACAGTGGAAAGTACAGTATACAGTGAATTAAAAGAAGCTTCGGCTCCTACAACATACTACAACTAGTTTATCTTCAATATTCCTGGGGCACGGAGAAACGAGCTAACTTAGCCGAGGTTGAAGGAACGTTCAGTTTCAGTTTGAACAACCATTAAGCAGGCACTTCTGTGCGTTGCTTGTGGTTGCTGTCCATTTGGATAATCAATAGGAGAAAAACAGGATAGTTGAAAGTAGGATCGAAGTGAAAATTGAGAAGTTCAGTGGACTAATATTGCAAGAAAATTGAGAAGATGCACTAACGCCACTGTTTGCGACACTCAGCCATACCGCTCTCGTCGCGAGGTCCCCAGCCGGGGAGCTTAACGGGACCTATGTGACCCAGACTTCTGGTTAGGGTTTTCATATTCTCACGCCAGATCTTAGCTTGACAACCCTTGGTTCTATTCTACCGACTACCTGCCCCGGCGAACATCGCTCGCCGTGGCAACCTATCTGGTGACATGCGTAACACATGCCCCAATCAACGTAATCTATGGAGGTCGACTACTTGCTCCAGTGGACGACCGCATTTACCTAAAACTCTACGCCTAACCTCAGCATTGCTCTTCCGGCTACCCCACCAGATTCGTGCAATGTTGCGTAGACACCGGTGTTCGAACAGCGACAGTTTATCTTTATCCTGTTTCCTTAATGGTCAAGTTTCTGCGCCGCTAAAAAATAAATACAGTGAGGGACAGTTTTCCACTCAAAAACCCCCCGCTAGATGGACGTGGGAGCGGGGATACCTGGAGCTTCCTCTCGATGGTGGGAGAAGTCTTCGCACTTCACTGTATAGTTACCACCCGCCCAAGCTGGGCAGCCCCCCAGCCAATAAGGTATTATCCTGTCCACGTCCCGCTTGTCTCATTGGGTGCATGAGGTCGATCCCGAAAAGCGGACCGAAAATCAACGCACCAGCGAGCAATACAGTGAACCGAAACCCGACGTCCTTGTGTGACAGATCATCAGAAGCTGCCACACAGGTGCTTCGCTCACGCCCTCGCGTTAGATTTATACCCCACTGCCTTGTGGGTCAG